ATTGTGGACCAATTTTATTTAATCTTTTTATTAACGATATTGGTGAAGTATTTGATCACTCAAAATATCTCCTATTTGCCGACGATTTGAAAATATTTAAGTCAATAACAAACGATAAAGACTGTGATTTGTTGCAAGCTGATATAGATAGATTTTACAACTGGACCACACTTAATGCTCTTGACCTCAATACTTCTAAATGTTATGCCATGACCTTCTCTAGGAAAATAGCAACTTTTATTCATGATTACAAGGTTAACGGAAACATTCTAAAAAGGGTGAATGAGATCAAAGATCTCGGCGTTATTATGGATAAAGAATTGAACTTCAAGAATCATATCGAAAAACTAAAATCTGCAGGGTTTAGGAATATCGGTTTTATAATTAGAAATAGTAAAGACCTATCTCTGAGCAATTTAAGACTTATTTATTCATCACTTGTTAGGTCAAGTCTTGAGTATGGATCTGTTGTGTGGTGTCCTTTTTATCAATGTGATATAAATATGTTAGAAAGAGTGCAGAAGAAATTTCTTAGACACTATGCTTATAGACTGGGTTATAGGTGGAGTGAAACAAACTATCAATCAATAGGTAGTATTTGTAACTTAATATCACTGGAGAAACGTAGACTTGATGCAGATCTATTGTTTGTTTATGAATTGATCAATGGTTATATCAACTGTCCTGATTTATTGTTACAATTTTGTTTTAATGCTGGGCCAAGAACGAACAGAAATATACCTACCTTTTATATACATTCACACTCAACCAATTATGGTTATCATAGTCCGTTGTCTCGTTTGCCCCGTGAATATAATCATTGTTCGTTAGATATCTTCTACAAATCACTAACTACGTTCAAAAATGCTTTAAAATCGCTGTAAATAACATTAAAATAACTATATCTAATCTATTAATACTTAACCTTCTATGTTCATTATTTCTTATAGTTTTATGTCTACTTTTAATAGTTAATTTTTCTGCGGTTTTAAAAATAGGTATCTGTCTGTATATGTAACCTGTGTTAATTTAATTTAATTTTAATTTTAATAATTTTGTATTTTTAATATGTATTTCAATTTTGTATTTTCAATATGTACTGGAAATCCGTAAATAAATAAATAAATAAATAAATAAATAAATAAATAAATAAATAAATAAATAAATAAATAAATAAATAAATAAATAAATAAATAAATAAATAAATAAATAAATAAATAAATAAATAAATAAATAAATAAATAAATAAATAAATAAATAAATAAATAAATAAATAAATAAATAAATAAATAAATAAATAAATAAATAAATAAATAAATAAATAAATAAATAAATAAATAAATAAATAAATAAATAAATAAATTCTGCCGGTGAGTGTAGAAAAAATTCAAACAATTCAAGAAATTAAGAAAGAGTTATCGGAAACAGAAAATATTCAAATGCCCTTTCTAAATCTGAATTTCTATTCGTTCATATAATTCCATTTGTTTACAAATAAACAAAACAAATAATCATATATGCGATAGCGGCTCACAAGAGGTCGAGAAATTCTTATTTAGCATTCTCATTAGAGGATCCCAAGTAGGCTTTGAGGTTAACGATTTTTATTTTTGCGCATTTGCATATGATACGTAGGAATGCCCGAGTGTTTGAACAATAATAAACGTTTATTTACGGAAAATAAAGCTTTAATAATGCGATTTTATTTCAGAATTAAATTCCTCATACCTAAGTTGTATTTTATGAATGGGAAAACGAAGAAATCGATGGTTGCGTGCTCATTTGAGTATCATTCGAAAATCGAGGCCGGATTTAATCAGATACAGGGTGTTTCATAAGTACCTTTTTCCATAAAACAAACAAATTTTTTAAGTAACTCTTTTTCATATAAGTATGCTTAAAACTTAGGGGTAGATATAGGCAGTGGCGGCTCGTGGGCACTAGCGGCAGTGGGGCACATACTGGAAAGGAATCCCGATATTCGTTTTACCCTTAGGAAAACAAGTTCTTCGCTTAATGAAAATTAAATATATTTCAAAACAATCAGTTGGGGCAATAACGATTTCTGAATGTGACTACAGGGAACTAAATGTGACCACTCAAAATGCATTTAACTATGTATGTGACTATTTAATCAAAAAATAATTACATATCCACTCTTGCGAAATTTGCGTAAATTTCTCAGAAGAATGCAATTTACTTAACAATTCTAACTTGTTAACGCATTTTAAATCATACGACTGAAGAAAAGGTGTTTGGCAATTTAAATTCTCCCAGCGAAAAATTTCTCTTTTATATTTTCAAATTAGAAAAAATATTTATGTCTCTATTTGATAGTTTGTCAACTAAGCCTGGAATTTCCAACGCATACCTATTTGAGATGAGCAAAATAGAATCTGGTCATCCTTGCCAACAATTTGCGAAAATGTACACCATTAAATTTTTTATACTCTTAATTATGCAAACAGAGATTTGAAATCCTCGAAAAAGTCAGACAAAACAGAAAGAAAAATTAAAATTTTGTCCCATTTAATTTTTAATGAATGTTTGTGGTATTGATTTTCGGAGCTTTATTTCTAATTCACTAGAAGTAGTATAGAAACTAGTTACTTTTGAGTGTTTAAATTTTTTTTGTGAATTCGCATTTCAGGATCCTTGGCTGGATCCCAAAAATCAAAATACCAGTCATTTAAGCCAAATGTAACGCTTTGCATCTTAAAACATAGTAGGCTTGAATAAACAAGTTAGCAACCGTCAAATTGTTGACAGTAATTTCTGCTGACAGCGTAAAGTAGCATTAAAAATCTGTCGCTCGTTTTATGATATAGAGATCACATTTTCAATAAAGATTTTAGTTTTATAACTTAAGACGATTTTATATTGTGAGAATTTTATATGATATAAAATTATCATTCCTAATTGTATAAATACAGCCAAACATCGAAATGAAATAATCAAACTCTCCTCTACGTACCAACTGTCTAAAATATTTAATAGTCTGCCAATATCAATAAAAAATAAACCAATCACATCCTTCAAATTGTAATTAAAATTAAATTTACTCTTGATATATACCTAATATCAATGTTAAGTAAGTTTTTTTATTGCTAATACCTATCAAAATTTTATAATTTCAAAGTTATATTGCCAACAATCACTAAGATGTGTTTTTAGAATCAGGATTCTTTTTATACCGCTTATATGACACATCCGCCTGATCTTCAACGTTTTTTAAACTTACACTCTATCTCAATTATATTTTTTTTTTGTTACGATGTAGAAAATATAATGACCTTTATTATTAAATACCTTCTGCTGCTTTGACATCGCCAAATAATTTTCTAAGAATTTTTAATGATAAAAATTTGACAAATGGCAATACTCAGCCACAGTTTAAAGCTAAAGAATCAGTTCGCTCACTCTGCGTCCGCACTTTTGATCTTAATGTTCCAGTTTATACACTGCGCAACTCGGATTTGTATCCCTGGCGCATACAGAATCAAATCATAACCAATACAACATATGACAACCGCCTATATTCAAACAGCAGTCTTCTGCGCAACTGGTCCAAGTGAGCTAACTGATTCTTTAGCAATAAACTGTGACACCGAATGAAACAGTATCATGCCACCTATCTATATGTCATTCTACGAACTTTTGACTAATTAAATCCTTTCAGTTTTTATTTAAATTATGCTCTAAATAAACAAATAACATCAATAAAAGTAGTAATAACAATTGCATTTGAGAGTGGAACATATTCATCACGAATCATAAAATATGGCAACCGTATTTGCCATAGAAAATCGACAGCGTGTCGACCTGCGGTACACATTCCTGACACTTTGAAATGGCTGAAATTCTATATTAGAGTTTGTGGAACTTCCTGCGCGGGTCAAAAGGTTATTAAAACTCGTTAAATATTACTATGACCTCAATTGAGGGGCTAGTCCTCAGCATATGCTGATTTACTGGCTAATTGTAAACGGGTAAGTAGCGCCTAGTTTGTATTTAATGAATAAAATTAGGATAATCAACTTTATAGACAACTAAATGTAATATTTAGTATACAAGGTGGGCGCTCAGAGCATAACTTCTAAACTAGAAGTATAGAAGAGTATCCATTTTCAGAAATGTGGTCAATAGTGAATTAGAAATAAAGCTTCAAAAATATCAATACCACAAACATTTATTAAGAAATAAATGTCGCGACTAGTTTCGGCTTATAGAGCCTTCTTCAAGCCTACAACAAAAAATAACACAAATTAGCAATAAAATAGTAACTTAGTGATACAACATAAAAATTTGTAAAATCATATATGGGTAGTAGACCAGTAAGTAGAGACATAAATATTGAAAAATTTAACAATAATTTTTTCATTTTTTAAATTTCGTGGTAAGATAAAGTACCGAATGAATCGAAATTTGGCGATTTTGCAACTCGATACAGGGTCGAAAACATTGTCAAAAATTATGATTTGCTGAACGGTCAAAAATGTAACGGCTGCAAATTTTATTTCATTTTTATTTCAATATTTAAGATCTAACGCTAAATTTGCAGCTACTTATGACTCCGGAAAAGTAATTTTTGCTGTTAATTAACATGATTTGATTTCATTTAGCAACCAAAATATTAACATGCTTGCAAATTACAGTAAACTCGCTAATATTGCCTTAAATGCCTGTGAGAATTTGCAATTCTATCCGATGATGTCATTATGCATTTTTTAGAATTTACAAGGATTTCTTTTTTTATTTATTTAAAAAAGGATTTGGCAAAATTGTAACATGCAAATATTGATTGCTAATGACCGTATTCATAAGTATTCTATTCATTTTGCAATAGCCCACGACATCGGTTTACAGACGAAACATGCATTAATAAATATTTTGGAAATATTTATTATTTTGAGAGTAATGATGAACCTATTTCTAATCCTTACCAACAATATAATACTCTTTTTCAAGGAAAGGAAACTGAAATATATTTTTATTTTCAGTGGCAACTAGTTTCGGTCAACCTGATCATCATCAGGCCTGCAAAACAAGTACAATTTACACTGATGCTATAAAAGTAAGTTTTTTATTTTACCATTCTTTACTACGCTATCTCATCTGTAGATGAGAAATTTATATTACTAGAAAATAAAAATGTCTGGGTTCGAATCTCGGCGACGACATGCTTTTTTTAAATCTCCAAGTATTTGTTTTCACCTTTGGGTACTTTTTCCTAGAATTGAATGCTTATTTAATTTAGTATTGTTTTATCTCACCGTTGCTCATTTTTCTTAACTCACTCTTCGCTACCCCATTAGAATAAGTCCCCTATTAGTCATTATAATAATGTGCTGTTTTGAGTTCTCATCAACATAACTCTGATTTTCCATTTTGGTAATTTATACTTTTAAATCAGTTGAATATTCAGAAAAAATATAACCAAACAGTATACGAATTATAAAAATAAAAACAATGTCGCACTTTCTATCTCAGACAAACAGAAAGGCCTTCACTCCTTTTAATCCCCAAGCCGTGGTAATATAATTTTTCTTTGTTAAAACTCCAGATTGTCTCCATATTTTGAACGGCATTGCAGAGATTTAGAGTTTATATATCCACATATCTTCTACTTCTTCCACAATGTGCTTACTTATGCCTCTTTACATAATCTTATGCCTATCCATCGTATTTCCCAGACTTGATCGCTTAGACTTAGACCTACGTTTCGATGGTCTGTTGGTGGTCTACTGGTTTGAATCATACACGCATTTTATTTTAAACGAAACATGTCTAAATAGTTGTTATAAAAATATGAAAAACATTAAATATTTGAAACGTTTTTAAACGAAACTAATGAATGGTACTGCGTGCCGCAGCGATTAATGTCGCAAATGGAAGACAAATTCACGATTTCGAACGGTACCATTCACTATTCTCCGTTACGGCCTCGAAAAAATATCAATATTTACCAGTGGTTTAACTGTTTTTAGTCCATCTGTACATTTTGTGTACATTTGTGTGTAATCAAGACAAATTGTTGTAATGGCAAGTAAAACACATGAATGGTTTTACTTCAAAATGAGGTTATATTAAGATCAATAATCAAAATTCACATGACAATGATGTCCTTGGTTATGTTACCAGTAGTGCCTATATCGTCAATCTATGTATCTACTATAATCTTCGAGCATATATGCTCGAAGACTATAATATGTAATAATAACGAAATATCGATAGATATCAGACAATATTTAATTGAAGGCAACCTTGACACATTGTGTGACTTACCCACAATTCTGTATTCAAAAAATAAAAAAAATATAAGGAAACATTATTACTCATATCTTAAACAATGCGTGAAATCTGATCAATCTATATAGATATGCCATTAAATAGGTACATATTTTTTTTTTACTGATAACCCACCCACACTTTGCAAATATCTGTTATTGCAGCCCACATTTATTTATTTGTTGTACAAAGTGATTCTATACCGGATTTAAAAACAGTTGGATTAATAATGTTCAGTTTATCAATGTTTGTATATTTTTTACAGTTATTACATAACATAAAGTATATTACATAACAAGTGTGGAAAATGATATTGGCATTCCTGAAGAGTGCAAGAAATGTAATTCTTCTTCTATATATATTTTATGTACAGGGTGTTTTAGATTTAAACGGACACAGCTGAGTTCAAAGCACCCCCATACTTAGCCTTTAATCTTAATCGTTTCTGAGATATAGAGTGTTTTATGATTTTTTGCAAAAACTAAAATCGGCCATTTTGTTTGAACGGCTAGAGATATTTTGATAAAATTTTGTACAAAAGTTACACTCTCTTAGGTTAATCAAAACAATAATTCAATTTTAAAAAATTCCAGGACCGGACTTTATATTGCTCTTCTTAGCTAGAATATCACCCTGTATATCGAATTTTAATAAATGTTAATGCACATTTAAATAGTACGTGGTTCAATAAATAAAATAATGTAATAATATTTATTGGCACCATCTTGATTTTCTTACAGTAAATTTTTATAATGGTGACTACAATATTATAAATCAGTATTTACAATATTAAAATCAAATATTTTACTCTGTACTTTTAAAACTCTACACAAATTAGGTACCATCTTCATTTTTTTAACTACAGTATTTTCCATTAGGAAATTGCACATCTACACAGGACCGGGCTTACTTTATTTAATAAAGTAATAGATCAAACTAACAGAAACAAATAATTAATTAAAACTGAAGTAGATTTTCACTCCCATTAAGCTGTGTCCGTTTAAATCTGAAACACCCTGTATATGGTGTTTCTAAATGTCATGTCAACATTAAAATTTACTGAATTCTCCTTATGAGTGTGGAAACTTAAAAAGTTCAAGAATTGTATTCTTCTTTTTCTTCTATATATATTTTGTATATAGGGTGTTCCTAAATGTCATTCAAATTAAAATTTACTAAAATCTAATATAATTTATCTACTTTGTACTAGATTTATAACAATGTAGATACTGAATTCATTACATTTGTACTGAACCGGCCGGCATCGCTGTTCAAATTAGAATTAGATCTACGTAATCGTGCAGTCATGCGTTCGAGTCGTTGCCCCTATCAACGACAATTTCAGGATGGCATAGTCAATATTTTTTGTGGTTCCATATGAAATAACTTGTGTATAATGAACCCATACATCGCTCTGTAACGTGTGGAGGGTGGGTTAACCCACGTCACTTAGGCCTCACTAAGCCCACTCTGCATCCTCCTAAGTAGATAGCCAACCTACAGATTTAATGTAGTTGACAATGTCGCCAAGGGGTGCTTTTCTTATATCGGCCGATGTTAGCCAATTCTTGCCGAACACAAATCTTCTAATAAATGAAAGCATCGAGCAATAGTAAAGGATATACTCGATGGTCTCATCCCCTGTAGAGTGCGGATTCTGACAGCCCTATGTTATAGTGATGCTTCCGTACTTGACAATGACCAGTCAGAATTCCTGTGATCAGGCGCAGATTCTGTCTAGTCATAGTCAAGTATTTAATTACTGTAGTATTGTCAAGATAACTCAAAAGCTCCCTGACAAATCTGCAGTTTCTTGTTTTATCCCATCTCTCCTTGAATTTGACAAAGGAATGTTCTTAAATTAGGTCTGTCACTATTGATGTTACTAGGTCCAAAAAGTATTGGGTTAGCTACCTTTTTGGCTAGTGAATCAGCAAGACGATTATCTTTAGATGTGGCGTGACCATTGGTTTATCTTATGGTAACCACATTATTGATGGATACTTTGGCCAAAGCTTCGTGACATTCTAGTACTAACCCTAAGTAAATTCATGGTCTTGGTGAGAAGTGTTTGTCTGATATCTGTATAGATGAGCATTTTTCTTCCAGTGATATTGTTTTTGGTGCTATGATAATCCCTGTGAGCTCGGTTTAAACTACACTGGCACTGTTGATCATAGCCCATTTTATGTTTACGCTTAAGAATCTGGAGTATACTCCAAATCCTGAGCCTTGTTTTGTTTTAGAACCGTCGGTGTAGAAATGAATCTTACCTGCCACTTCCGGCACATCTATTTGTTTCGTTATAATTTTATATGGCATAAGGAACATAGTATATCTTGGTGGGATGGAGTCCATGTTCACTTAAAGCAGTGGAAGTGTATCAAGCGCCTCCTGCCTAAAGCGACGTCTCGCCTGACCAGCTCCTACATCTCTATTTCAACCATGTGGAGTCGTGTCATTGTCATCCGAGTAACCTCCTGATGTAAGAGGAGGGAGAATAAGAATGAGTTCCATGGTTCTGGTTGGTGTGATTTTCATAGTTCCTATTATGTTGAGACATGTTCTTTGAATTTGTTTTAGTTTGCGGATAGCTGTCAATTGTTGGGTTTTCGATATCCAGAGAACTGCAGCGTTTGTTAACAAGGTCTTATGATAGCCATGTAACGACTCTAAGGGAGAAACCCCAGGTGTACCTAACGGTTCAGCGCCATTGTTAGTAACCAATGGATGCTCTTTCGACTCTGTTTTCTGAGTGTGAGTTCCATGTTAACTTGCTGTCAAAGGTGAGACCTAGGTACCTCTCCTCTGTTGCTAAGTTTAGTTTTGTGTTTAGGAGCTCTTGAGGTTTAAGTTCCATTTTCATCCTTTTACTTGTAAAAAGTATCATTTCTGTCTTCTTGGAATTGATAGACAATGAATGGGCCTTGCACCACTCTTCTATAATTTTAAGATTTACTTTCATTCTTTCACCGAGTATGTTCTCAAAATTCCATGTTTGCAGAATGACCAGATCATCTGCATGCTATTGTATACAGACTGGCATTATTGAGGCGGCTGATGAGGGTGTCGAGTAAGAACCCATCCCTGAGGAGATCCCCTCGCAATCAAGCCTATTATATTCTACACTTATATTTACTGCTCGCTTCGGTTAATGATTGTATTATCTTGGGAAAGTTGGTTTTGTCTATGTCTAAGAAAATACCCAAGGCGGACTCCTTATTGTCAAGGGAGGATCTCTCTAACCGGCCAGCAACTAGGTAAAGGGCTCAATCTGTAGATCTGCTTGGGGTATATGCATAATAATTTGGGTGTGGTGGTGTTGTTGTAATCACCACATCCCTTATGTACCTTTCGCATAGCCGATACATACTGATACATACACTTAACAGTTAACAGAGAAAATAAACAGTCAGTAACATGCCTTAAATTAACGGAGCTAATTTTGTACAATTACTGTAATGTGTAACGAGAGATTTCAGTCTTTAAGATGTATTATGTTTTATTTTCTGTAAAAATTACTAAAACATGCATACGCCGCTTTCCTGTTTTTATCTTATTACAAATTTCAGTGTTTAATTCAAAGAAAATTCTCAAAAATTTGGTAATGAATGGGTAACAGCGCTTACGTTTAGGATCTACCATCTGCTGCAACTCTGTGCTTAGAATATTGGTTGGAAAAGGATACATTGACCCATTTTTGAATTTTAGAGTATAATACTAAAATTGATGTCATTCGTTTTTGAAGACATACACTCTCGTCACTTATAATATATACATGTAAGT